GCGTGTATACTAACGCAACTGGTTATCTTCTTTCTTTATATAATTACCTAAAATTTCTTTTAAAAGAAAATGAAATCCACCGCATGTCCCATTACAGTAAAACATGAAAACTTCCCAGGAGGTGAATACTTTGCATAGATATATTACATGCCCATAGACAGAGATTCTACAGAACAGATCTGAGAATCATGTCAAAGCGTTTTGCTCTAGTTATGACTAATCCGTCTTGTCTGGTTCTCGGGTTTTTTCACAAGAAATTACATTTCACACGTCAGCTGATTCAAGACACCTCGCACCCACATACTGGGAGGTCCGCCATCACATATGCTCTCACGAAAGTCACCTTCGCTTGTAGTTTCTCCACCAGCACGGCCTGCCTCTTCTGGGCTTCCAGAGAGTTATGTAGCTCCCTCTGCAGAGCCAGCCAATCCCGTCCGAGCTCCACCCCCTGCGTCATTGTCCTGTCAGTGTTAGTCGCGTCCGCCTGTAGAGCAGATGTGGAAATAAAAGATGAACATGTATTTGCATTCAATTGTCAAACATAGTACAAACATCTACAGCTAAAGACCCCAGTTATTGGACTCCCCCATCTAATGTACATACAGCAAACGTTGCACAGATACACAATTGCTTACTCATGACCAGGGCAGCCGTCAGAAATTTTGGGGCCCCTTTCACGGCTTTAGGCTGCCCCCCCCGCCGCTGGACACGGGCTTATTGACGCGCTGGACGCAGGGCCCACCTGAGAGTGACCCTGCAGAGCCCACCATAGAGGCTGCACAACCCATCTGAGAATGTCTATGGTGGGCTCTGAAAGGGGTCTCAGGTTGGCTGGTCAGGGCTGCATCCCTCCCCTCCCTCCTTTCCTTCCTAGCTCCTCTTACCTGCACACGTGGCCTCGTCTGCCGCCGGACAGGCCAGAAGTGACGTCACATCACTAACGTGACTTCACTTCCAGCCAGTATGACATTAGACGAGCAGCATCGCTGATGGGGCCCCAGCTTGTCCCGAAGCCGCTGGAGCGGCAATGCTGGGGCCCTGTGCTGCTAGGGCCAGACCTCCGCCTCCTCGCCCTTCACCGTCGGCCGATAGTCATGTAAGGGGCCCGGGCGGGCCCCCCAGGCCCCTTACATGAGTATCGGCCGTACCCCCCTGATGGCTGCCCTGCTCATGACAAGGAGAAATGAGTCTGGGCTTGGAGCGCACACAAAACCACTCAAAACCCTGACTGCCTCCCCCCCAATCAGTTGCAGAATGGTGCATTCCCCGGCCCGCAGCTATATGTCACATAGGGGCTGGGAATGACTCGGCAGCGACTGTTGACACTGATTGGGTTGCAAGTGACAGTCAGAATTTTAAGTTGGCTTGGGTGAACTCAATTCAAACCGTGACCAGCCTCACCTCTAATGGCAAGGAGAGAGATCATGCAGTGTCGGGCATCTACTATGCCGCCATCATTGAATCACCTAATAACAGCAGTGATATCTCTGATGTGGAAAGAAATACTGGAGGCCAAACTAACCATGAACACATACGCCTGGAAATTTTTCACAAGATGGCGCTCATTTTTAACACACTATGTAATGATCAGGAGCCAATCGCACTCCTCCATCCTTATCCATATATAACTTGGTATGCAGGAGTTCTATAAAGAACATTGGAACAGCAGAGACTACCTAACACATTCTGAGCAAAATTATAACATTTTATATAACTGCCGCGGTCATTCTTCATCCCTTGGGTCAGGGTATGTTTACCAAAGCTTCAATGTCCAGTAACTATAGTTCTTGCGGACCCGTATAATGCAGGATAAAGGTATCTAACCAAAAGCATACTTCACACATGATGGGCATCTATCACCACTTATTTTATATGTGACAGGAGGTAAGGTCGGGCTGCAGACAACCCTCAGTTAACAAGCCGGGCCCTACTGAAGTAACCTAGACTCAGAACTATGGAAAAAGCTCACGACATCTCCATTTATCTTCCCCAGGATATGTTTACCAGTGGCGGCGTGCTTTACACCACGGCATCCCACGCTTTGCATTGCACTTGGTGATGTAAGGCTTGGATGCAGCTGCTCGGCCATGGAAACCCATTCCATGAAGCTCTCTACGCACTGTTGTTGTGCCAATCTGAAGGCCACACGAAGTTTGGAGGTCTGTAGCTATTGACTGTGCAGACAGTTGGCGACTTCTGCGCACTGTCATTTTACGTGGCCTACCACTTCCTGGCTGAGTTGCTGTTGTTCCCAGTTGCTTCCACTTTGTTATAATACCACTATCAGGCGACTGCGGAATATTTAGTAGCCAGGAAATGTCACCGATGGACTTATTGCACAGGTGACAACCTATCACGGTACCACACTTGTAGTCACTGAGCTCCCGAGAGCGACTCATTCTCTCACAAATGTTTGTAGAAGCGTCTGCATGCTGAGGTGCGTGATTTTATACAGCTGTGGCCATGGAGGGGATTGGAACACCTGAATCCAATGATATGGAGGGGTGTCCAAATATTTTTTGCAATATACTGTATTTATATTTACAGGTCTACCCCTACTACCAATAGAACTACTTCCAAAAGAAAAAACAAGGGGTTAACTTCCGATTTTAGTAGACGCAAATAATTCCATCATGTCCTTGCGACTATCTGTGCATCTAAAACTGAAAGTTATACAATTGGTTTAAAAGAGAAATAAGGCCCGCCCTTTTTTTGGCCGTAGTTCTCTTTAGGGTCACAGGGGGACATATACTAATGTCCTCCTGCAATCTGAAACTCAGCATATAGCGGGCTATTGCCTGCTATATGCTGACAGCGCAGACCTGCATTGTAGCAGGGAAAGTTCCTGACAATATTGTCGGGATCCACCCCTCTGCCTGATTGACAGCTGGCTCTACCTCTCCAGCCCCGCTGCAAGGGTTAACGTTTCATTATCCTAGCAGCCCCCATTTATACTAGCCATGTGCATACATGTGGTGCGTTTTGCCACACACTCTCGCATAGGGCAGCCGATTAGCTTCCATGGCCTGCCATCCACACAACAAAGAAGCTCATACAGCAGTTTGAGCTGCGGAAAAAAAAAAGTTGATGCTGCGTTTCGAGCGCCATTAACAATGGGACTGCAAATGTGACATGTGTGGCTACTATGAATGGGAGGAGCTGAGGGCTTGTTCACTGCAGCCCGGATGCAGCATGCTCCGTGTAACACATGCTTGCTGCTGTGCGTTGTGAAGGGTGATGCGATGTGTGAGTATATTGCAATGCAGTTTACTTTTTTGTTTTCAACTTTAAAATGGCAAAACCCACTTCATTCCACTTTATGCACCGAAACGCGTTGACTTGCGGTGATGTGTGTTAAAAAATGCAGAGAAGCTGCGTCTTTCAATAGCACCCTATTGTGTAGAGATCCCACCGCACTCCTTACTGGTATGCCCCTTGTGGATGGGTCCTGAAGTGTCTGCGGATGGCGCCGCTTTATCTAAGTAGAAATAGAACGTCCCCAGCACACCAGGGAGTCCAAATATGTCTTTATTGAGGTGTGCACATCATGTCACACACAGGCAACGTTTTGACCCTATGTGGCCCTGAAACGTTGCCTGTTTCTGGTTGCCTGTGTGTGACAAGATGTGCACGCGTCAATAAAGAAGTATTTGGACATTCGATCCTGGTGTTTTGGTGACATTCTATTTCTACTTTACACAGCCCCCCACCGCACAGGTCTGGTGTGAACAGGGCACAGAGAAAACCATTGTGTCCTTGTGTTGAGTCTGTGTTAGGGCCCATTCACACTCGATGTGTTGGGCTGCTCTTGTTCTTGTCACTTTGTGACATTTCAATAAAGTTTGAAGAAAAAAAAAAAAAAGGTAAACAGTGCAAGATGCTGAAATTAGCGCATTGTCCCCCGTATAACCCAGAATGTCACACCGGTTTGTTTACAAACAACACAGGTCAGGCGAGGACACGGCCATTGTTTACTTCTCAAACGGACAGTCACTTCACCTCTACAACCCACCGCAATGTATATCCCGGATATGACACTGAACCGGACAGCCCCGTGTGAGAGGGGACATAACGACCCCAGGACACATTACAATGACAGGCGGGTGGAGGTAGCCCAGCTGTCCCCTCACTGTCACAGTTCACTAACCGCCACCCACCCTATATGGATTCCCTCTTTCCCCCGTCTCCTCTGCCCTGGTCCCCCCTCTCCACATCTCCGGTCTCATCTTCTCTGTCTCACCCCATTTTGAATCTCCCTCCACTCTCCGTCTCCGCGGCCCGAAGCTCAGTCACCTCTGACCTCTCCCCTAACCAACCACTTCCTGCCCCGCAGTCACATGACCTCCGCATCCCCCTAGCAACCACTCAGGCCCCCCCTAACGACCAGAGATGTCACTGGATGTAAGAGGCCCTGTCATGGCTGAGCCGTTCACGATCTTCGTGACCTCTGTGTACTTCTCTGCGGAGGCTGTGCTGGTCCTCGTCAGTTGCACAGTGCATTCTGGGACTTGTGGTCCCCATTGTCAGTGTCACCGTGCGTGCTGAGACTTGTGGTCCCCATTATTCGTGTTGCAGTGCATGCTGAGACTTGTAGTCCACATTATCGGTGTCACTCTGCATGCTGAGACTTGTAGTCCCCATAATCGGTGTCACAGTGCATACTGAGACTTTTAGTTCCCATAATCAGTGTCAGTGCATGCTGAAACTTGTGGTCCCCATTATTTGTGTCACTGTGTTTGCTGAGACTTGTGGTCCCCACCATACATGTTACAGTGCATGCTGGGAATTGTTGTATGTAGTGTCGCAGTGTATGCTGAGACTTGTAGTCCCTGTTGTCAGTGTGACTGTGTATGCTGAGACTTGTAGTCCCTGTTGTCAGTTTCACCGTGCATGCTGAGACTTGTAGTCCCTGTTGTCAGTGTCACCATGCATGCTGAGACTTGTAGTCCCTGTTTTCAGTGTCACCGTGCATGCTAAGACTTGTAGTCCCTGTTGTCAGTGTCACCGTGTATGCTGAGACTTGTAGTCCCTGTTGTCAGTGTCACCGTGTATGCTGAGACTTGTAGTCCCTGTTGTCAGTGTCACCGTGTATGCTGAGACTTGTAGTCCCTGTTGTCAGTGTCACTGTGTATGCTGAGACTTGTAGTCCCTGTTGTCAGTTTCACCGTGCATGCTGAGACTTGTAGCCCCTGTTGTCAGTGTCACTGTGTATGCTGAGACTTGTATGCCCTGTTGTCAGTTTCACCGTGCATGCTGAGACTTGTAGTCCCTGTTGTCAGTGTCACTGTGTATGCTGAGACTTGTAGTCCCTGTTGTCAGTGTCACCGTG